TGTTTGGGTTCGTATACCATGCTTGTATACGGCGAACCGTGTGGTCGGCATCGGTGTTTCTAATCATAACGTGGTTTGCTCATGGGTTTGGGTGATCATAGTATATTGTTACGAGCGATTATGGTTCTGGTCAGTTCACAGTTTATTTTGCACTAGTGTGCAGTAATGACTGCTAAATCGTGATTTTAGTAAGTGCATTCGTTCGGTCGTTTTGATTTGATGGCTTATGCGCTGGATTCAAGTGCGCTGTTATGTTGAATAGTGATAGTAATTTAGTGCTGGCGAATCGCGATTTATACCAAAAGTTAGGAAGCATACACGTCATAAGGTGACAGAAATGTTGTTACTATTTGAATCTGTTGATAGCTTATTAGGCACCCCCGCTCCTTATTACGACGAGAATATTCGTATGTCATGATATGCCAGGGCTCGATAACTGCATGACAATGAGGTATAAACTTACTTATTTTTGTACGGGAGCGGAAAAATTAGGGGGGAAGAAATAAATTTGCCAGATTTTTCCATTTTCCGGACCAATTAATTTCCTACTAAATTTCGGAAACGTTTGAAATGCTAGAAATGTTTTGTCACATTGTCCTGCTTTCTTGCATTTTTACTATTATCTCACATATGTCTGGTTTTTGAAGCTCGATTTTGATATACGGTGTCGGTGAAACGAGGACGCAAAATCAATGGACAATGGCGGATTTTTGAGAAAATCATTATTTCAAAATAGGCCGTTTCAATTTTAATACGTTTTCGTTCCAACTGTGTCTTTAAAGGTTTATAACTATATATTTTGAAAGCTCCAAATGCGTGTGTTTACATGCGCAGCAAGGCGAGATTTTGAAAATGTAATAGATATTTTTGAATTTCCGTGGCATAACAACAGTTTGTTGCGAACATTTTCTCTGCGAATTTTCTACTAACCTGAATATAAATCCAACTAAAATGTAGGCATTTTCACAAGCTTTCAAACCATCCGCGTTGGGGGTGTATGTCGTTAAATTTCGAATTAATAGAAGCGGTTGAACCTCGTCCCTCGTGTACTAAGTCTATGAATTGTGTCTCTGAAATAACGAATTATGTTAGGGCAATGAAACAGTCCGCATTTTATCCTTTTTGTCTGCATCCGAATTTTATCCTTTTCGTCCGTCCGTCCGTCCGCATGTCCGTCCGCGTGTCCGTCCGCGTGTCCGTCCGCGTGTCCGTCCGCGTGTCCGTCCGCGTGTCCGTCCGCGTGTCCGTCCTCGTGTCCGTCCGCATGTCAGTCCGCGTGTCCGTCCGCGTTTTATCCCAACCCCAATTTGGCTAGGGCTTCGGGGAAGGCTGTACTTATAAAAGAGCCGCGGGCCACGCTGGCTAAAGCGTCGATAATTAATGACTGCCAATACATAGCAATTATTATTATTATTATTATTATTATTATTATAAACTTTATTTTCACACGGTAAAATCATCAGTTAAAATTTACATAATATAGATGTATATAAAGTATAGAAAAAGGAGGAAAAGGAAAAAAAATGCAAATGCTATTTACAAAAGACAAAATGATATAATTTGTATCAATGAAACTCGACTTGACGACTCCATAGACAACTCTGAAGTTAAAATACCAGGTTACGATTTGATAAGAAAGGATAGAAACCGCAATGAAGGAGGAGTGGCTATCTACCTAAGAGATGTTATTCCCTATACTAATATAGCTGACTTAATTCCAGTTAATGCAGAGGCAATTTGTCTTGAAGTTAAAAAACTGAAAGCTAAGCCACAATCTTGGACAAAACCCCTGAGACCATTCCAGCTAATATTACAAAGTTATTGAACATTGACAAAACAAACTTTGTCTCCCCCTCCCCCCAGTTCAATGTTGTGAACAACGCCGAAACAACTTTTGGTAATATACCATGATACAAGCTCAACATTGAGTTGGGGGAGCGGGGGTTTAAGAATGGCAACATGATTCAACATGGAGTTTATCATAAAAATACGCGAATTTTCTATAGGGGGAAAATAGTCTCAACCAGTTATGTCCAAGATTGTCTGAATGTGGGAATTTTACAAGCATACCAATTGTTTGAGAGTTATGGTTAGAAAGGCAGGTCGGTTAGTGTTGCGATGGAGGAAAAATTATTAAATATATGTTACACTGCAAGTACTGTAGGTAACCGAAATTTTTATCCATATTAGCAATCATTCCAGGCGATGCAAAATCTATATTTATATTGTAAGTAAAGGGAAATTAATTAGGAGGACATAATACACGTCTGGATGAAAGTAAATTATTTATTGGATTTTGGGAAACTTGATTTCTACCTTATTCCATATCATCATTGAAAGCTTCGTATAGTGTATGTAAAAACATATCCAACACTAAAAGTAACCGAATTGGTCAAACTTGATAACATGGTTTGCTCAGAAAACGGCTATTCACTCTAACGTGCGAACGTTCCCTGCTCCATTTGAACCAATTAGCTACTGCTATAAAACATAGCTACAGAGTTTAAAAATAAATGGAATCATGGACATACTAAACGTTGTCTACACAGCTATTTTCATATAGGCAATCTGCACTTTTCACAGGTTATTATATATGGCGACCCCCCACGAGGAACAAAGAGTCGCCTGTACAATGTTCAAATTGACCATAGTAAAGAAATAAGAGTATATAGCCATGACTTTTGGAGCATAAACCTTTTATAATAATATATAAGAACATTTCAAACGATTAACGAAAAGATTTGATGTGATATCAACGGTAAACGGGGATAGCAGCAAAATTTTATAGTAAATGATAGGTCTAGTCATTGTTTTAAATTGGAGTCGCCGTTTACCGTTCTATTGGCCTGTTTACCGTTCTTTTATCAAACCACGATAAAGATTATACTTGGTTAACCGTCATATAAAAAAATTCGGGTTAAATTATAAGTTTCAAAAGCAAGTTTGAGGCTGATAAACTATAGAACAAATGACGTCATCTTATAAAAAATACCTATATACAGCAACACTTGAACGTGATATTTACATAATTGAATTAAATCCCAATGCATGTGTCTCGACCTCTATGCCCTAGTAACATGATATTACTCGCTTCTGGCAGTAGAAATCTATATATTTTAGATGAAACAACAAGAAAAATTCATGCGTTTCATGCGTATATTTTAGGATGTGACAAGTTCAAATAGGCATTATATTGCTCGCTAATTTCATGCAAACAAATATATATGTTGCTCGAAAAACAAGAAGTAACGTGTATATCCATCTTTCAGACTACTGGAGTGGAAGAAAAATAAAAAAGATTGAGTTATCAGGCACAATTAAATTCAGTGTTTTCAGACAATCTTGGACAAAACCGTTAAGACCATTCCAGCTAATATTACAAAGTTATTGAACATTGACAAGACAAACTTTGTCTCCCCCTCTCCCCCAGTTCAATGTTGTGAACAACGCCGAAACAACTTTTGGTAATATACCATGATACAAGCTCAACATTGAGTTGGGGGAGCGGGGGTTTAAGAATGGCAACATGATTCAACATGGAGTTTATCATAAAAATACGCGAATTTTCTATAGGGGGAAAATTGTCTCAACCAGTTATGTCCAAGATTGCAGTTCTAATTAGTACTTGGTATCGTCCACCAGGTTCTAATATGGAATTCTTTAATGATTTTGAAAATTTCATAAAAGTGATTGACAATGAAAACAAAGAAATAATCATAACAGGTGATTTTAACTGTGATATGCTGGACAGCAACTATAGGAATGACAACTCTAAACGATTGGATGACCTACTAGATATCTACCAACTACAGCAACACATTGATAAGCCAACTCGAACAACTGACTCGACAAAAACACTAATAGACATTATAATTACAAAAAGTGACGACACCAAAACATCTGATTCAGGAGTGATTGCTTTGGGAATAAGTGACCATGATCTGGTGTATATTTGTAGGAAAATAGGAGTACCCAGATAAACGCCGAAAATAGTAGAAACAAGGCAGTTTAAACATTTTAACGAAAACGTATTCCAACAAGACTTAGCACAAGCGTTTAACTACTTTACATACAACTCTGATCCAAATCTTGCCTGGCAGGAGTGGAAGGACATATTTTTGTCTATTTCTGACAACCATGCTCCCTATCGTACTAGAAAAGTTAGAAACGAGCATTGCCCATGGTTGAACAATGAAATTAAAAAACAAAGCTATCATCGAGATTACCTTAAAAAAAAGGCAGTGAGACTAAATTCTGCTGCTTATACCGAGGCTTATAAAAGAGGCAAAAACCAAGTTACCAAACTTATTAGGGATGCAAAAGAACACTATTATAAAACAAATCTGGAACAATGCAAAAATAGTAAAGATAGCTGGAGATTTATTAATCATTTACTCAACAGGAGAACGACTACAACAACAATCAACCAGATCACAGTTAATGGACAAACAATTACTGGCAACGATAATATAGCAAACGAGTTTAACAATTATTTTTGTGAAATTGGCCCTAAGCTTACACAAACTATACCACCAAGTAATGTAGACCCACTTCAATATATTACTGCTAATTCTAATAAGTTTACATTTAGACAAATTTCACCAGTAGAATTATGCAGAATACTAGATGATATAAAATTAGGGAAAGCTGCAGGACTCGACAAAATCACAAACAAACTGTTAAAGGCTGCAGGCTATACCATATGTGAAACCTTGCTATACATTTTTAACTTGATCCTAGACGTTGGTATACTTCCAGACGACTTAAAACAGGCTAAGGTTACGCCTATCTATAAGGAAGGTGACAAAAATGAATGCGGAAATTACAGACCTATATCTGTCATACCGGCAATTTCAAAAATGTTAGAGAAAATAGTTTATAACCAACTCCTCAATTTTCTGAATGACAACAAAATAATCACAAAACGCCAATCTGGCTTCCGTAAATATCACTCTACTGAAACTGCTCTCTTGCAAACAACCAATGAATATTTAATGAATATGGATAGAGGCTTAATAAACGGTGTCTTGTTTCTTGATCTCAAAAAGGCATTCGATACAGTCGACCACAAAATCCTTCTTGCTAAACTCGAACTATATGGAGTTCAAGGTGTAGCCCTTAACTTCTTCAAATCGTACTTAACCAACAGGAGTCAATTATGTACAGTCCAAGGTATAAATTCCCAACTGAAAAAGATAAGGTGCGGAGTCCCACAGGGATCAAACTTAGGACCGTTATTATTCTCATTGTATATAAACGATCTTCCTAACTGTCTCGAACAAACAGAGGCATCTATGTTTGCAGATGACACAAATATATCAAGCATTGGTAATTCACCTGCGGACATAGAAGTGAAACTAAACAATGACTTGTATAACGTCAATAACTGGTTAATAGCAAACAAGCTTACTTTAAACTTAAAAAACCCTGAATTTATGCTAATAGCCTCTAAACGAAAATTGAAACAATTCTCTTATGACCCATGTATACTGATTGGTAATCATAACATCAAACAGGTAACCAATAAAAAAGTACTGGGAATTACGTTAGACGATGAACTGAGATGGCATAAACACAATGATCTTCAATGCAAAAAACTATCCAAGAGCATTGCCTTATTAAGACGAGCCAAACGATTTGTTAACCAAAACGTCTTAATTAACATGTACAACTCACTAGTCTTACCTCACTTTACCTATTGCTCCAACGTGTGGAATGACGGCAGTCGTACACATACAGACAAGCTTTTAAAAATGCAAAAACGAGCGGCTAGAATTATCACAGGGTCAACTTACGAAGTAAGATCGAAAGATATATTTAATATCTTACACTGGGAACCAATTGAAACCACTCTTAAGAAAAGAGAAATGATAATGACATTTAAGGCCTTACAAGGACAACTGCCAGAATGTATGACCAACTTCTTTAAAATTTGCCTAAATGATATGTACCCATTAAGAAGTAATAACTGTAAACTTTATTTGGAAAAACCTAAAACAGACTTCTTGAAGAATTCGTTTTCATATCGAGGTGCGGCATCATGGAACAATCTTCCAAATGATGTTACCAACAACTACAAAGTGCTCTCCATAAGTAACTTCAAAACTTTAATCAACAACTATTTCACCAATTTGGAGAGGAATAGTGTATGACAACCACTTGTGGGGCGGATTTTGATTCGAAGGAGTAATTTTTTGGGTCTGGGAGGGTTAACATAACATACTATTTCTAGTTATATATGTGAGTCATTCTAATTTATATATAGTGTTCATTGCATGGGCTTTCTTTTTTACACAGTTAGTATGTACAATAGATTTTTCATATTTGTAATTATTCTAACGGCCCCTTGAAAAGCAGTTTAATCTGAAGGGCTACCGTTTTTAAATAAGATGAATAATAATAATAATAATGGAAACTTTATTGAAATTATATACGTATATATACAATTATAAATCTCACTAATTTAGGTAATTTATAATTGACTACTTGAACCTACTTAATATTTATATATTAATAATGAGTATCCTTAAATGTTCAGTAATTCCGGATTTAACCAGTCCTTATCTCTGCAACAAAATATATAATATGTTGTCCTAATCGCGATAGACATAATTTTCCTGATAGCGAAATATTGGTGTCTTTCATCAAGACCTAGATCAGTTAACATATCTAAAAAAGAATGACATTCTTTTGAGAAAACGCCTAAAGAACTAATTGACAAATTTACAAATTTTACGGACTTAAATTGTTTCTTTTGCTGTGTAATGCGATCTTCGTACCTTCTACTTTTCCTATCAACATTTGTTTGTAGATTAGACTCATAGCCAACAGAAAGTTCAAGGATATAGAGACAATCCCAGTTGATAGATAGAAGTAGGTCTGGGCGGAATGTGTCACCAGTTACAATTGATGGGCTTTTATAACCAGGAAGATCGACGAAAAGATTGGAGTTGTTTACAGGTTGTAGCGTTTGTGCTATGAAGTTCAGAACAGAATCATGTCTCCATGTAAATCGTGGGAGGTACGTTTGACATCCAGCAACTACGTGTAAAAGTGTTTCAGGGTTTAAGCAGAAGGAGCAATCAGAGTTGGACAATATTCCCCATTTAGTAAGGTTTTTACGAGTTGGAAGTGAGTTATTAATGTAACGAATGGTGAAGTTATAGATGTTCTTTGGGAGGTTTGATTGGGATTTAGACCATATACCGTTTAATTTCGACAGTGAAAACTTAATGACATTTGAGAAGAAGGAGCCTTGCAAAATCAGATGATTCTGCAGTTTGTCTTCTTGTCCGGAGGTAAAAGTTTTAAGGACTTCCTTTGTCGAGGTGTAGACGTCGTACTGAATGTTTTTGCTTTCAGATGTTGTTTTCCAGAGGTCTTTTATGGAATGATTTGGAGAGGTCTTTAAGGCGTAAAATAATAATAATAATAATAACAATAATAATAATAATATTAATAATAATAATATTAATTTTAAACAACAGAAATCTTTATTAATAACATGATAATTTATACAAATATATCACATAATTAGACTTTCAATTAAATCAGGAAAATAGAGAAACAGTTCACTATGTTAGACAGATAGGTCCATTCTCTACACTTTGTATCAATAGTAGCTAATAAAAATTCAGTAAGTCTGGATTATTCCACGGCTTGTTTCTTCTGCAGTAAATGTAGAATGTTGCTCTCAGAGCTACCTCCATACATTTTTTAATAATACGTTCATCGTTCATTTCAAGTGTTCGTAATAATCTACGAAATCTGTCAATATCTTTCGACACAAACCCTAGAGTGGTTACTTCAAGTGTAATAACTTCAAACGCATAACACGCCGTGATCAGCTCAGATCTTAGATGTCTGTATCTTTCTTTCTTGCGACGTTTAGCCTTCGTACAATTGGTTTCAACCACATATACAGAACCCTTAAAATCCACCACTATATCAGGTCTTAGCGTTCGAAATAAAGTTGAAGTACAGGTCGTACCTGAATTAGGACAGTCAGCAAACAGTCGAAGATCTGCACCAACTGCGACTTTTAAGTGATGAATAATAGTCATCAGAATCGAGTCATGCCGCCAAGTATAGCGTTGTTGTTCTAGGGCTACCTTGCAGTTGGAAAAAACGTGTAGCTGGGTTTGTAACTTGTTGCACAGCTCACAGTTAGCGGAGTCACGAATGTTCTAGCGCTTTAGGTTAGAATTATTTCCTAAACTTAAAATTAACGCTCTCCTAGCAAAGCATACTATATTGCTGGGCATTCGAGTGACAATTTCGTGCCATACTTTAATCATCTTCTTATAGCAAGTATCAGTTAAGCAGGTAATGATCACGGATTGTTCTTTTAGTTCTACAAAGTTTGACCAAATTTCGTTAAGGTTTTTCTTTACCAGAATCTTCTTTGCAGCGTTTCTTAACATGTATTGTTCAGAGATACTAGCAGCCGCCCGTTCAATAATATCATCAGTGACGATGTTTTTATAATAATAATAATAATAATAATAATAATAATAATAATAATAATAATAATAATAATAATAATAATAACAATAATAATAATAATAATAATAATGATAATAATAATAATAATAATAATAATAATAATAATAATGATTGCCGTGTGTGAATCTAATCTAACCAACATTCTAGACCTCCTTTAAAAGCACTAAGAGATTGTGCCGAACGAAGTTCAGTTGGTAAACTATTCCATAAAACAGCTCCATCGTAGCTGAGTGAGCGCTTTAGATAATCTGTATGTGGCTTAGGGACAAATAATGTATTTTCATTTTTTCTCGATCTGTAAGGACAAGATCGCGAAATAAATATGTCTTGTAGATATTCCGGTACCCTCTTGTTTATCCTCGAGCCGACGGCGCGAAGCGCCGTGCGAGGGTACTAATCGCCCCCGGCTATTTACACCCGGGAAAACGAAAGCATTAGCGCACGAAAGCATTTGCACAAGATCTCAGTTTTAAAATACATTTATTTCTTCCAACTTTTTACAAAGTTATGCTTCTAATACATATCGTCACTTGTTTGAGACGTTTCACTATCCGATTAATATTCGTCATCGTAGCTGCTTTCATCGTGACGGCTTTCATCATGCGTTATCCATTTGGTAAGTCTTGGGTCCAGTTTTTGCTTCTTTACAGATGATAGATTACTGCATTGACTTCGCCTTCTCTTACTTCCATGCCCCGTTTGACGCAGAAGAGTCCTTGCACCTTTCTCAGCAAAGTCTTTAACAACTTCTCCTCCGTGAATCTTTACAGATTCTCTTACGTTTATTCCTCGGAGTACATCTTGACTTCTTTAAGAATGCGGTGTGTGAGATCGGTATTCAAACGGACGTTAACCCGATAAACGAAAATCTTACCCAGAATAAAGTCAAAGAGCATATACCCAGTTCGTTTTACAAGCTTTCAACCGATCTTGAGGGCACCAAACTAGACATCGTAATTATGGAACGCAAAATTGCAAGTGCGGTTCGTGAGAACGGTCAAGCAATAGATCAAACTCGTGGCGAATTGCCAGATATCAGAGATTATCAGCAGAAAGCCGCACATCGCGATAAAGCAATAATAGAGTTATGGTCAAAGCAAAACAGTGCTCTCTCTGATAAAGTTAATACTTTGAGCTTAGACTTGGATAAATTGAAAGCAAATTTACATAAATTTGAACAAAAGCATGTTTCTGATCACCCTACTCAACGATGCGTACATATAGTGGCCAAAACAACAAAAGATCACGAATCTGAAAATCTTTTACTACAACAAATAAGTGAGAAACAGGTTAATACCCCAGTTGACTCGTGTGTAAACTGTGCCCAAACCAACGAATCTTCGTACCCGGTGACTAAACACAACTGTGTGACTAAACAAGAGTCCAATCTAACACATCTACATCAAGTCGGCCTTAAACAATTATCAAATAACTCCAAAAGCGTCAATGACGTCATCAACAACAAAGGTTCAAGTGGCAAATCAAACCCCGATACCGTAAATAATAGACAGAATTATGGTCATCCTCCCACTAGTCAGAAAATTACTCACAGATCCGTCAACGGAGAAAATAGTATTCCCACCCCGCGACCGGCACCACCGGAGTGGCTGAAATGCTTGCCTTTGATTGATACACCGTACAACGAATCAAGTAACAATCCGGTTTTTCGTGGAGTCTTTGGAAGGCGGAAGACTCGTTGGAGATCTCGCCGGGAGAAGTATTCGGACATAGAATAGAATAGAATAGAATAGAATAGAATTTTATTTGCACTCGAGAAAAAAAAAATGACAAGATTATTACAATAAAGTGAGAACGGTGCTGGGGAATTGGAGTAACTAAAGTTTTCGAGCCAATTCCCCATAAGAACTATATACAACAATGAATTAAATATGGCAAATAATAATATAAAAGAAAAAATAAATTTACAAATATATATAGAAATATAATAAACACATATATACACACATCATAGGACGAAATTCGATTTTTATTAGCTTTAACCTAAAGTGTAAATATATTGAAAGGGCGCTTTACACCATTTAAGACGGGTGTTAAATCCAAGTAAAGATGGAAGAAGATTTATTTAGCATTACTGATGTTTAATTGACCCTTTGTCACAAAATTTAAGGACATAACTTTTATAGAACTTTACACTCAGGAATTAAATCTCGTTAAAGAGCATGGCAATAACAATTCCATTTATTCAAAAGTGTAAATGTTTGAAAAGGTCCCTTTTTCCTTTTCATTACATAGTTAAACGTCTATAAAGAACAGACAGGGGCGGAGCGAAGACTATCCTTTTCGGGGGATGCAAGACAACTTTTTGCCGACAAAAGGGCGTGGCTAGCACGTTGTTAGGGCGTGGTCAAAACGAACCGTATTTATTTTTAAGTGATGTACAACGATGAAATCCGAGTAGTTAGATAATTTATTTTTAAAATAGGCGAAATAGTTCCTTAAAATACATGGTATAAATTTCAAAAAAGCACATCCAATCGTCATCAAACGACCAATTACAAACTAAACACGTCAGTTTCTCTCTCTTCCATTTGCGTTTTTGCTTGCTACTGTCCATACTTTTAAATCATCTTCGTATTTCTCATTGTATATAAGACCGTTAGGTGTAATTTCTAAGACTTTTACTGGCTTTACAAAATTATGAAATGAAGCGCAGATGCATCAACAGTCAACACGCACATGTGCTTCGAGTTTCCTATGGTATCATATTTCACAAAATTGCAAGAAAATATAATGGCTATTAAATAGCGTATTAGCGTAATAAGTTCTTGGCCAATTTGGCTGAATGTTCGGAAAAGGGCCGAGCTTCAGTCAGTCGACATATCCATCTTTTTGATCTCGCATTTTCTACAAATTTTCTACAAACAATCTCTCTCCAATCAGGTATTGCCTATTGGCTTGATCCAATTCATTTTGCCGACAACTGATTTATTGTGCCGACGGACACGGCATTGGGGGGGTGCGGCACCCCCCCGCACCCCCCCTTAGTTACGCCCCTGAGAACAGATCACTTTGCTAAATATTTATAAAACATTTAACAGGCAAATTAAAGGTAAAATAATGATATAGTCTCTTTATCCAGCTTTACACTCATAAATTAAATATCTTTAGAGGTCATAAGACGAAATCTGAACTACAATCGTGTTTATTCAAAAGTGTAAATGTTTGAAAAGGACACTTAATATCTTTGCATGACATGGTTAAACGTCGATAAAGAACAGATACTACGTTTAAACATTTAGCAAGCAACTTAAAGATAAAATAATGATTTTTCCACTTTACCCAGCTTTACACCATGCAATAAAATGTTAACATTTGCACTGCAGCACTGCTGCGAAAGGCAGGACTCGCGGGTCCGCCGGCAGCTTGAACTTGAAACCTCTAAATGCAGGCCGTTGCCTTGACGACGAAATGGACAATGCACAAATCTTCCAATGTTTTCTGTGTTTGTCTTTCTGTCATTCTGTGTAGCTCGTCAGAGAAAAAGCTTTCAGACATTGTTTCGAACAACACGTTGACGTTTACACTGCATTATTTTCGTTGTTCTGAAGATTTATTATCGATATGGATGCGAGACCTACTCAAGATTATTTGTTTTGCACCCATTGTCAAGAAAATGTGTCCGAATCTACGTTTAGGCGACACATGAATCTAGTCAATATGGCTGGTCAAAGTTCAGCGTTTGCTCGAAGCTCTTATTGTCCGTCTGGAAGGAACTCATCCGAATCAGATAGCAGCTCTGAGTCCGAGGGAGAACGCATGGGTAGGTTTATTAAATTTCGGGATGTTTGGACTGTAGAATGAACGATAATTTGTTGTTCAAAAATCAGTCAATCACACTATAGTATTAGTATATAACTATGGTATTAAATTAGTATAAACCAGAGTACTAGACACTAGCCTAATTTCTGTATTATCTATCTGTCAATCTGTCAAGTTGATATTGCACATAACTTTTGCCAAAATATTCCAAACTATTAAGTTGGCAACGAGTTTGCCAAATTCGAAACTTAGTTCGGAATATTTTGGCAAAAGTTATGTGCAATCAACAGTAATAGTATTTAATAGTATTTACTAAATACCAGCATAAAGGTTCAAATGGTTAGACGAGGCGACATGTTGCAGGGACTGGTTGCAGTGCCTTGTTGCATGAGAAGGGCCACACAGAGTGACAACTAGTTGCAGAGACCTATGGCTGTAATAAACACACAGGGCGACAAGTCTATGCGACAAGTTCTGTTATTGTTCTGAAATGTTCTGTAATTTGTCAATTTTAAATCTAGTCCCAGCGACTTGTGGCAAGCTGGTGAACACGACAACATAACATAACACATTCAAGGACTCAATTTTTTCCCTGCGACAAGTCCATGAAATCAAATCAATTTGGACAAAAATTAGTCCCTGTGACAAGATTTTCACACAGGTCACACATGCCGACTTGTCGCTTGGTGTAACCAAACCTTAACACATTAGCCGGCAATGCGCTCTACTTTAGTATTTACTCTGTCTAATGCCAAACAATTTTACTTGTCAGTGGTAGAGTACTTTAGTATTTTAACGCCAGATGATTTTACTCGTTAGTGGTAGAGTACTGCCAGTAAATGGGTTAACAAACCAATCTACTGGTCAATGTCTCGTATTAAACCATCAACTGTCAATGCGCCCTACTTTAGTATTTACTCTGTCTAACGCCGGACGATTTTACTCATCAGTGGTAGAGTATTGCCAGTATTTGGGTTAAATTATTGGATGGTATTCAGTTTATTATTTTGTGCATATGTCATCTACACCATCCCCAGAAAGGAGAAATTGGATGACAGATCATTCCCCTGTTACAGTATACTGTAGTTTAACTGCACTCCTGCTACAGTATTTAAGGTTTTGCTGTTCAGGATGACAACACAGTAAAATTGTGATAGTGGAGTGGAATTGAGATAAAAATTTCTGGTACCGCACAGCTCGGGGAATATAAATAGGTGATACTTATGGTACCATGAATTGTCAGGTTGTATTGTGCAAATTTTTAATCAGTGAATCTGATGTATTAGAGTCATTCCATGACACATCAATGCAATAACACAATTATATATATACTGTAGCAGATGAGAATTATAATTGTTTTAAGTACCAGTACATTAATAGTCTGTTATCATATTCTATGAGATCGACTCTCACAGAGTAGCATAAAGATCTTCCCTGTGCAGTTTTTTTACCAACTTAATTGTTAGGTAAACAATTTGCTTAAATAGCTTATTACTGTATATTTACAACATAAATATGATTTACTGAAATGGTGTTTGCTCGAATTGCCTGATTACAGTACATGTATTAAAATGCACATAACTGCATGATAATAATTTAACAAAATTATAAAACATTTTCCATGTTGATATACAGTTATATCAAGGGAGCACGCCAGAAATATTTGTGTAAATTTATACTAACCTTTGAATCGGAAAGCGGTATTAGCTTATCGCAGGCGCAATAATTTATGTTCATCTTTGACATTAATTTATGTTACACGATGATACTCCGAAGGGCGACCGAGAAAGATCCGAAATTTAAAATAAGGCGGAGAAATAATAAAAAATAAAGAGGGGAGTGAAACGGCCGAACTATTATCCACTGATGCTGGTTGACTGTTGCTAGGAACATTTGTTGTTGCTAGGAACAAACCGGAAACAAAATGAGACCTACTATTACGGGAACCACTGAGTATTTTAATATAATATACTGTAGAACAACAAATATAATATAATATACTGTAAAAAATAATTTTTTTTTATTATTTTCGGATTTACCGTTGATTTATATTTGATCTACTATAACTAGTTCAAGCGAGTCACATTAGAATATATTATTAAAATTGGGGACAATGGCGAGAGTTTGTATATCAGATAAACATCGGCTGCTCGTGTTTTAACGTGCTTATTAGACGACCCATCATATGAGTTCATTGGCGAAGTAATTTTAAAAATAAACATTGTCTAAGCCGAGAAAATCGAAGCTGAAGTTTATGTAAATGAGGACAATTTACAAATCTATTATCCGACGATTTACATACATTGATTAAACATTCATTTCTTTTGAATTTCCTTCATGAATTATTAATACTGTATTTTGTGTCCAGCATTCGCAAATGTTTTTGTTTCTCTGCTGTCGAAAATTCACTGCTGGCGAGCAACGATGCAAATCAATACAAGTTTTGATATATTTCAGATTCGACAGTTCTTGGTCAACGAGCATGGCCAGATAACGAAATAGGATATACGCATTGTCATTGGCCAATACCCCATCACGTGTTCGGCCGTTTCACTCCCCTCTTTATTTTTTATTATTTCTCCGCCTTATTTTAAATTTCGGATCTTTCTCGGTCGCCCTTCGGAGTATCATCGTGTAATATAAATTAATGTCAAAGATGAACATAAATTATTGCGCCTGCGATAAGCTAATAATATATACCGCTTTCAACATTCAAAATGGCGCCCGATGAAAATTGAAAACATTTACATGTAATTAAAAGGTTTATAAATTTACACAAATATTTCTGGCGTGCTCCCTTGCTAAATGTGGGTAAACACTGATCTATTTTTCGCCTTTTCATTAGTGAAGGAAATTTAAAGCTTCCCTGTACTCCAGACATTTTGAATGTCGGCAACCAAAAGCTGTTTGCCGACGTATTACACTATTTTATCTCACCTTTTGTTATTTGAGTATCTGGCGCTTTGGGCATAGTTTTCAATGTGCGCTTCCTATCTAAGCACAATGTCTGAGATAAGTAAGAATGTGAGATCAAATTTCGAAAAAATATTAGATTGAAATATCATCATTACAAATGAAATAAAATATTTAGCTTAGAACTGGACAGCAAGAATTTACCCGAAGGTTAGAAAAATGCTGTGTGACACAAATTACATTTAATGACAGGTTTTCGCCAGGTTTTTTAAACGCCGCGCTTCCTATAGCTACGAGGCACAGTGACATTGGAATTTGAATACTGTTACCCGATCCTCACGTATATGAAGAACGTACCAATAAATATTTGTATGATTGTATCCAATAACTTATTGGCAGTGTTTAGAGCTGGTGCTGTGGGTTAGGAGTATAAATATGCGTAAAGCTTAGTTCAATTCCAATATGTTAATGGCACGTCTTGCGTTATACCATGCAATACTTTTATTGCTTATAATGTGCGGATCGGTTGATTACTTGTATAGTTAACACTGACGAGTATTGTTTTATTCACGCAAACAATAAATCAACATAAGAATGATAAGATCGTGTAAACATCTACATTAATAAAAAATATTTTATTGCGGTCTAGTAGGGTCTATCATAGCTATGTTTTAATATTTGTAACGTGCCGAGCACAATGTTAATGCAAAACAAGTGCGCGGAGTCAAAGCCAGAGTGGCGAACCATTTATTAAAGTAAAGCACAATCTTATATAATACAATTGCGTGGGAGCCTTGGCCTCTCCCAAGAAAGGAACTACGTCACAAACAACATAGCTTCGGTCGCCTAATCCTATTACTGTAATTTCGATTTACTTCAATGCTACACTTGCCATAACGCAACGAAAACAATTCATGAAAATATTTAATCAAAAATCTTCAAAATGTTAGGTTTTTTCCCGATTTCGTCCATTCCCGACCATTCCCCAGCCATTCCCCGGCCGTTCCCCGGCCATTCCCCGGCCATTCCCCGGCCATTCCCCGGCCATTCCCCGGCCATTCCCCGGTCATTCCCCGGCCATTCCCCGGCCATTCCCCGGTCATTCCCCGGCCATTCCCTTCCCCGTTCCCTTCCCCGTTCCTTTCCCCGTTCCCTTCCCCCATTCCCCGTTCCCCGTTTTAAAGATAGCCGGTGTAAAACACTTTTTCTTTTGTCAAGGTAGCTTTTATCAAATTGCATACCATTCTATACAATCATGATGACAGATATATTTCCTAATTTTCCTATATATGATCTATTCCAAAAAAGGTAAAAGCCATGCAATGAAAATCTATATATCTTAATTACATGCGCGACGCATGCACGAACACGTTTTAATTAACCCCTCCAGGCAATTAATATCCTTTGTCTGTCGTTATGTATGTAAGTTGTAAATCAGGCTGTATGAGACAGAAACAAAAATAGTTAAATCCCAACAGTGAAACGCACTCAGTGAACGCATTCTGCATGGCTGCGTTCTGTGTACGATTTCCAGAACCAGCAGAACGATGAGGTATTATACAATTACTTTATGAGTTCCGTGTTTGGATGGCCTGATCCAAATACGCGGGAATGTTGCGAGAGTTAAGAAAAGCGCGCGTTATATACATGTTATTTTATAAACTACTTTACTAGTACCTAAATACCCTCAAAATTTCGTTAAAAATCTACTTAGCTAAGGTCAATCACATTTATATGATTGACCTAATATACAAGATTTAAAAGTCTCGGAACAGTATTTGATCCAAGGATTCTTGCACTTTTGTCATTGTTGTTTAACTTGTTTTACGTTTAAATTTAATAGTAAGACCATGGCTAAGAAAATGCATGAACTATTATAAAAGCAACCGAATAAAAGAAAACAAGTAAAACTCGAACAAACAAATATAGATTTTCTCATTTTCCCATTTTCATGGTTTTTAATAAACACTATACTCTATAGCCTTTTCAATTGCAGCCGGCTCTCCCCTTACTTGTAATTGATATCTACAAAAATGTTTCAAAAACTAACAAAATAAATTCCGTGTACTTAAAAACGATAAATATTTA